CTGCTACTGATACTGCTGCTGCTACTGCTACTGCTGCTGCTACTGCTACTCCTACTACTACTACTACTACTACTACTGCTACTGCTACTGCTACTGCTTCTCCTACTACTACTACTACTACTACTACTACTGCTACTACTACTCCTGCTGCTGCTACTAGTACTACTATTATTATTGCTACTACTTCTACTAGTACCTCTTCTGCAGATTAACGTAGTGAGACCAGCGACTGAACAGTCCATTTTCTGGTAAACTGCTGGTCGTCTAAAACGATACTCCAAACGATACCCCAACGATACCCAAAAAATTGCTCAGGAGGCTGCTTGCGGGACCCATGCCCGTTTGCGTTGTACAGACAGTGTTTACCCGTGTCTAGTTTGCTCGCATCGTATGAATCCAAGAGTGCCACCGGTACTTTATTTAGTCTAACATGCGTCAAAGATACAGTCCTGTGCCCAAAGTGCAAAACGGTAGGCCTCATGTAGACATCTCTATACATGCTTATATTATATAAGAATAATAATAATGACAGTAATATATTAATACTAATAATAGTAGCAGTAATAATGACAGGAATAACAATACTAATCGTAATAATATATATATATATATGTTATTATTTCATATATATATATATATATGTATTATTTTGGATGCAGAGAGAGTGAGAGTGAGAGTGAGAGAGCGCGAGCGAGAGAGAGAGAGAGAGACAGATGGGCAGACAGATTGTACTAAGTTGCTGCACAACTTCTATCAATTTAATTTTGTATTTTTCGGGCGTGAGGCGTTCTAACCGTGAGTACGCCCCAGGTTGTGCACATTCCGCCGGCTGTAGTCCGAGTGTTCCTTTCCTTGTGTTGCAGCCGGGTCTTCTCCCCTTGTGGGCCTCGTAGCATTCTGATGGCTGTTGTCCAAGCTGGAGTTGGCCGAACTCGGGTAACGTCGAGGTTTATCTTGCAATTGGGGAGCGCACGGAGTACTGCGGCGAGATGACCACAGTTCTGAAATTGCAAAGCGGGAAGCTTTCAGCACTGCAACGGCACAGATCTGAGGATCAATCTGAGAATCATGGTCGACGAGCTTCTGGGCCTGGGCATGCGTCATATCGACACTGACTGTTGATGATCTAAATCCTGCATTACCTGAAGGACCCTAAACTATGGGAATTATGGAATATTCCTTATTATGGGTAATGCAGGATTTATATCATCAACCTAGGACCTTCCAGCCCGGGCTTGACTCGAGTCCCCTCGAGCGCCCCGTCATGCCCTGAAGTGGCAGCAAGAACGAAGCCCTAAACCCTATATGCCTAATTATACCCTAAACCCGAAGACCCTAACCCCGAAGACCCCAAACCCTGAACCCTAAACCCAAAGCCCTAAACTCCTAAACCCTAAGGACCCTAAACCCTAATCCTTAAACCGTCGGAGCCGGAACCGGCAAATCTCGTTGGCCAGGCCTGGCCGGGCTCCGAAAGTATGGCAGAGCCACTTCTTCGAGATAAACCCTAAACCCTAAACCAGTCTAGGAGTCTCTACCCAAATATTAAGGCCCCTATACATCACTTCTTTGAGAAGTTTCGGCCAGCAGCCCTGGCTTCCCTTCGAAGCCCTGAGGCCTCTTCCCGTAGTATTCCTTATAGAACCCGAGAAATCACAGAATCCGAACCCCGACCTTGAACTAGCAGAACCGAGATCTCTGTAGGTTCCTATCATAGACCCTAATATAGAACTTGTTGGGACCCTACAAAAAACTAGGTTTTGCTAGTTAAGGGTAAACCCTAAGACCTTAAAACCTCTATGCCCGAAACCCTAAACCCTCATCCCTAAACCCTAAAAACCAAAAAAACCTTAACCCCAAAAACCCCGAAACCTCAAGCCTCTAAGCCCGAAGCAGATCTTGCTTCGTCGCTCGGCGGCCTTGGATGTCCTGGGAAAGACGGAGGAGAGCCTCGACGACCTCAATGCCGCCAGGGACTTTCTTGTCGCGTTCGGGGGCCTTTTCGGGGGTTTAGGGTGTGGGGATTATGGGGGTTTATAGGGTTTGCGGAGTAGGCGTTAAGGGTTTGGGGAATCATGGGGGTTAGGGTTTGCGGAATTAGGGGTTTAGGATTTGGGGAATTCTGGGTTTTTCTTAGAACTGTGGTTTGGGATCATGGCGATGAGAAGGGGCAGTAGACCTTGGTGTAACCGTGGCTTTTTCTGCGGATCACAATGTGCTATCAATTATCACGTAGGCTAGTTGCAGAAGAATACTACACTGTTAGATTTGAGAGATCCTTTGTCAGTGGAACGAGAAGTCAATTCCGGTGAACTCCTAGCAGTTATCCGACCTAAGGCGTCACAGCCCCAGGATGCTCGAAGACTCTCTGCGTTGCTGCTTTGCGATTTCTATGGTTCTTACGACAGAAGTACGATCGCACTTGCGAGATTGTGACCGTTTGAAACCATCGCCCCGAAGCCGTAAAACTTTGACTGATCCAGCGCAAGTACACTGATCCCAAAACCTTTTACCCCTGACAACCGAGACCCTTATATTCGCACTCAAAAGCTTGTGTTGTACAGAGCTTTGGGTCTGTTCTCTCTTGGCAAGGGGAGTATGCATGAAAGGGCTGTTGGCTGTCTTGGGCGAAAGGGTTCAGGATTGATGACAGAGGGTTGAGTGAATCTGATGATATTGCTGAAAGCCGGCGCGCGAAGCCCCTAAGAGGCTGGATACCTGTACCCTCCGGGTTTTGCTAGGCACTGACTTCGTTTCAGGCATTGCTTCTTGGTGATTATCGGATGACAGAGCTCCTGAGCCTCCCGAAGCCAATGGCCTGATCGAAGTGGCATCCCATGACTATGCCTATGGCAGTGAGGCCACATGCAGTGACGCAGCCAGACCGGAAGACCTGCCACGAAATACTTGCAGTTATATTGAAAATACACAACATGGTGAGCGGCTGTTCTGAAGCGGGGCAAGTAGACCATGAGATAGTAGCAGCTCAAAACAGTAAGCACACTGATGGCAAACGGGTTCATACTCACAGAGAGGCAAACACCAAGAATATTGTCATACTAAGTACAAGGCTAGTAGTAACGTGAACAAGAATGCACACAAGCAGCAACTTTCACCCCAGCAACGCGGCGACTTGGACGCTTGGCACAAGCAATGGCTCTGCCGATGCGGGTACAGGAAGCCGCTCGCCTCTAAGATCCGAGGATGTCCGGTCTTGGGGTGTTGGGGTTTAGGGGTTTAGGGTTCTGGCCTTTCGGGGTTTCGGGCCCTGGGAGCCATACTTGGGTGTTTAGGACAGAAGGCGCAGGAAAATTCCTTTCGTGGTGGATCCCGTCCAGCGGTTTCGGAAACTGACTCCTTCAGTGCTGACTGTAGCGAGCACGGCGAAAAGGACGACAAACTTGAGCAGTCCCACGTCAAGAGGGTTGATGGCTCGCTTCTCTGAGATTAAACTCTTATGTAAGAGTCGTAGGAGTATGGGAAGCGGTCCAGCGGCGTCCTCTCGTGCTGCTTGCTGCCATAAGAGCAAGAGTCCTGAAGCTTCAACATGCGAGGAGTTTAACACTAAATGGCGAAGGCACGCGAAGACATGGCTGAAGCAACAAGAGGTGTTGCATCCGAGGCTCTGAAGCGCTATGACCAAGCGGACGCTCGGCCACAGTTTCTGGGTGCTCGAATCTTTCCAAAACTGTGTATTGAGGTAGTCTCTCAAGATTCAAGAAGCAGGATGTGTCAAGCAATCTCTGTTCATGGGGTTTGTTACACCTCTCGGAGCAGTCGAACAGTCGACCCTTGGAGCTATATATATATACATATATATATATATATATTTTTTATAGAGAGTGGCATAGCTTTGCACTGGTGCCTGCTGTCACAAGGTACGGCTCATGAGCCTGTCTAAGGGCCCACTACACTACATATATGTATTCTATAGGTTGTAGGTAGGTAGGTAGGTAGGTAGGTAGGTAGGTAGGTAGGTAGGTAGGTAGGTAGGTAATTAGGTAAGTAATTAGGTAGGTAATTAGGTAGGTAATTAGGTAGGTAATTAGGTAGGTAGGTAGGTAGGTAGGTAGGTAGGTAGGTAGGTAGGTAGGTAGGTAGGTACATATATTTGTACCTGCATGTACCTGTAGCTTCGAACGTACATGCGTCGTACGTACATACATACATATACATGCATCCATGTGCACACAGTTTCGATCGTTTGTTCTTTCGTTCAACCATGCGTGCATGCACAGATACATGCATTGATGTATGCATGTATACCGAAAGAGTGCTAAAGGCCCCTGGTATGTCATGCCATGGAAGCTCTCTCTCAGTCATTGAAGCTGTACGACCCCGCACTGGGCTTGGAAGGCGAAGGATCGAAGTTTCAGCTTTCGAGCAGATACGGGGGGAAGGGATTTAGAACCTTGAGGTTGAGGCTAATATAGGGGCCTACTTGGACTAGTGTTCTGGGAGTTCATTGTCCTAACTTTAGTATTATAGACCCCAAAACCCTATTCTAACTGTTACGGCCCTTATTTTACGGAGGTTGTTCATCCCGGAAGCCCTTCGAACTCTTGCATCCACGTTCTGGCGACATCTCCTCGCCAGCTCTCGACGCGACCGTTGGCAGCCAATGCGGTCACATCGGCTTTGGTTCAAAGTCTAGCCGAGGCGGCGGAGCATTAAATCCTACACGCTTAAGCCTTAGTTCTCATAACCCTAACCTCTGCTTGAACGTTAACGGCCCCGGGTTGCCCGGCATGAGGGATCACCTTAAAATTCGCTACACTTATTTCTGTTGTTTCTGCAATATAGGGGCCTAAATACAAACTTATACTATTTTGGGAGGTGGACCTGTTGCACGTTGACACCTCTGGCACTCGCGTTCTCTTGCCCCAAGAGCTCTTTGCTTCAGCGGTTTGCTGGCTCTGTTGTGTTCGTCTGCTTTTGGGAAGTTGGGTCTGGGGACTACTTTCAGAGTTGACATAGGCTTTCATCAGATTCCTGCAGCCTCAAAGCCTGGAATTTTTGATTGTCCAAACGTTTAATAATTACAGATAAGGCACGTCATGGCGGTGCAACACCCAGCGAGACACCCAGAACCTTGAAACCATAAACTCCACCACCCGAAGCCTAGAAAGCTCACGAAGCAGACTCGCGCACCAAAGTCATGCATACGATAAGGTATAGCGAGCGCAGAGCGCAGGATTTCGGAAGTCGCGCTTGTGACTTGAGTGTTCGCTTCAGCGAAATTTCCTGGTTCGATGTTTTAGGCTTTGGGTGCAGTTTGTGTTTTGAGGGTTTGGACTGTGGAGTAAGCCATGTCGTCTACAGAGATATATGATATAAGGGATTTCCACGTCCAAGCGCAGAGTAGGACTTTCAAGGCCGCAAGTTCGTTTTGGCCCTAGGAATTCGGCAGTTTGTAGAAAAGTTTGGGAGGCGGATTTCGGGGTGCAGGTTTGGAAGAATCTAGGCTTTAGGGTTTAGGGTTTAGGTGGGGGTCTGTGCAGTCACGAAGTTGCAGTGCAGGCTCGGCTTGGTTGGGCCAGGGTGGTGAGAACCTGCAGGAAGACTGGAAAAGCTTTGCGGGTAGTTCTCTAAATTAGGGTATTATCTTTGCGACCTAACGAGGGCCCCTAATTTACGGAACCATCCATATAAAGTCCATGCGTCTCCTTGAGCTTTTGGCACGTGGGACGTTGGGGGACAAGTCTTAAGGAGCCTGGTGATGTCATTCAGGACGTCTAACTTTAATTCACAGCCAAAGCACTGACGCTCCGGTGCCTGCTTTGCGTAGACGTCAAGTTCTTTGCGCACCCGGAAAACCCCGAGCATTTTGGGAGTGGGAAGCTCGTAACCTCAGTGCTGTGGTAGGGTCTCCTTTTTTTCGTGCAGGTAATCCGCCAGCTCCTGCAAGAAAAGGCGCGGAAAGGAGGGAGGAAGGGTGTTTGCGTCAGGTCCGAGCTTCTGGCAGAAGAGTGATCCAGTCTGTTTCGGATACGAGAAACCAGAGATGCTCATCATTGGTTCACATATCGTTAAATACCTGTGGAGCCCTAGACTACTCTGCGATACTCATTCCAAAGCTCTGATGCACCGAATGCGCCATTTACGTAAGTCAGCAATTCAAAGCAAAGTTCAATCCTAGGGGCCTGAGACTTGGTCTTGTGCTCTGTGCCAAATGGGTATGAGTTCTTCTCGTGCTGCACTTGTTGGAACCGTACGTGACAATGATGAAAATAGTTCTCCTTGCGACTACTACAGCTATACCATCCTGTGCATCTGTAGCTATCGCGGCATTTTCAATAACGGCAAGCGTGAGATGTGCTTACACCCAACATCTGAGCTTCCGCAACCTGCGAAGGAAAGATGCCATCGCAACCCGAAGAAACAAGCACACACACATATATATATATACACACCCACCCATACGGACCTATCATGCAGGTTGAACACAAGGGTGACTGTCTCACCAAATCTTAATAAAGCCCTCACCACGCCTTCAGCCCCACTCCACATTCGTCTTGCCGAAGGCACCCAAAGTGCCCAGCTTGGTCCACCAGATGATCATCGGCAGCGACACCGGCATAGTTGGGCGTCTGAGGGCTTGGATGTATGGAACCTAGTGCAGGTCTTTGGCCTTGCAAAGATCGGGTTCTCTTTCGAAGCTGCTCTGGGCTGGCTGGGTGTGCCAGCCCGGGGAACCGCCGTCCTGGTGGTGGCTGTAGCAGAAGCAGTGGCAGCAGCAGCAGCAGCGGCCGCGCTGTAGCAAGAGTAGCAGGAATAGGAGTAGGAGCAGGAAGAGGAGGAGGAGTCGGAGGAGCAGGGGCAGGAGCAGGAGCAGGAGCAGCAACAGCAGCCACGGCAGTAGTAGAAATCTTGGACCCAGCCCCGACCGGCTGTTCAAACAAGAGGCCTGCCCCTACGCCTGCCAGCTCTCGAGTCCGGTTTCCCTTGCCAGGCGGCTGTCCCAAGTTTGCCACGATTGCAGCACACCAATCCTGTGGCAATGCATACTGGCTTACTGAGTCAACATTGATTTGGCCTCTATGGTACTTGTGTAACTGTCTCATGCTCGACGTGGTGTAGCACCACCACCACAACCAGCATTACCGCAACACCACAGCCACCACACACCGGCTGGTGTGCACCACCACCACCAGCACCACCACGATCACCGCCTCTTGCTACGATTAGATGCAGATGCCACTGCTGTGCCCGTTTACGAACGCCGCAGTGTCTCCTGATCACCATGAACATTAACAGGACTCCTAGCCGGTTGCTATGCCAAGAACAGTTGGTAGCGTCTCTCTCAATCTCTCTCGTCTACTGACTGGATTAGGAATTAAGAAATTGTGACCATGGTCGCAACCAGATCCAAGAATAATCGTAGTAGCTTGACGAAGGCAAATTGCTGCTGTCGGAGTACAAGGAATTTCAAAGACACTAAACATGAAACTCTTAAAACCAAACACTACGAGTGAGCACCACAAGCCTTAAAAGCTAAACACCATGAAGGGAGTATTGCAGGTTCCTGTTGTGTGAGCCTGCGCACTTGTGCCAGGCTGTGTGGTGGCGCCTCTTTCTACTGCTCCTTGGCTCGAGGTAGGCTTTGAGAGTTTAGGATTTGGGGCTTCAGGGGGTTTAGGGTATTCTTAGTTCTCCAACACCCAACCTTTAAACTTTTTGGTGTCTTATAAATAAGTAGTTATCTGACAGTTTTACCTTCTGTTTTCCTGGCTTATTGGGGAAGTAAGTAGTAGGGTGGGGGTTAGGGCCCAGGGTTCAAGGTGTCGGGGTTAGTGGGAAGGATCTTGGGTTACTGGCTACAGGTTTTCGGGGTTCGGGTTTAAGAGAGTCGACTGTGCGTCGGCTTGTGCCATATCAGGTGTTGGCGTTCAGGCTTTGGGGGCTCAAGCTATGGAAGTCCCAGGCTTCAATCTTCAGCCTGGGAGTAGGGTTTAGGGTGTCGGGGTTGCGAGGTGTTAAGCCAGGAAGTGAAGTTCGTATTCTGCTTCCCGGTAGTTCTCTTCAGTACAGTTGGAATGGAGGTCCTGCAGCTTCGACGCGATGCCCGACACTGGCAGTCGTAAACCTGCAAAACTACACGGTATCCTCGAGCCTCAAGTTTGAACTCCAAATTCTAAGTCGGACATGTGCAGCCCTTCTTCGTCTTGTTTTCTTTTCCAGTGCAGTTCATCGTGACCGGCATGCCTAACCCACCCAGTGCCCAAATCCCTAATCAGAGCTGAGTTACCGTTGCAGGGTTTTGAGTCCGGGGCTCAAGAATTAAGTCTCGACCATAAACCCTAAACCTAAACCCTAAACTCTAAACCCTAAAGCCTAAACCCTAAACCCTAAAGCCTCCCCAAAGCCCCAAACCCAAGGAAAGCAACCTAGGAGTGGGCCCGCCCTCAACCTTGAAACCCTTGTTAATATATAGGGGCCCAGGTAATTACCTATACTGTAGGGTTAAGGGTTTAGTGTCTATACTATTTTGGGGGTTCCTGATTATAAGGAATCTTACAATATAATATATGATACATATGTATATATTGTATAGTATACCTCAAAACCCTAGTCTAGCTATTAAGGCCCCTATATTGCAGAACCCTCATGAGCGCCCCAAAAGGAACCCGGCTCTAAGAGCAGGGTGGAGATTAATACAGGAAGGCAGAGACAAACAAAAAACATGTAAGGCACTTGATATTACTCCATTAGATTGTTACTGTATGGGGGCAGTACCCCAACAGTAAGCCCTAAAGCCTGAATCTAAAACCCTTTTCAGCAACCCCACAAGGAACCTGTTGTAATAACAGCACTAAGAGCAGTAACATTAATCATAATAACAGTGAGAATAACAAGTCCTAAACTCTAAATCCCCTCGTTGATAGAACCCTTATAGATCCCTTCTAGGAACCCTCAAAGATCCCTAACCCCTGAACCCTAAACCCTAAACCCTAAACCCTAAACCCTACTGAACCCAATAGTAGAGAGCCTCAGGGCCCTTCCTTTCGAGGTCTGGTTCTCCTTCCTCGAGGCGCGCTTCGCATCCTGGCCTCCCGGCAACCTCGGGACTGGCATCCCCCGGGATTTGCGGGTCTCTTTTGGGCGTTTGTGTTGGGGGTTTGTGTAGGCGGTTTTTTGGCTTTAGGGGTTTCTAGGTGTTTTGGGGTTTAGGGTTTCTTTGTTTAGGGGGGTTTTAGGTTTTAGGGTCTAGGTGTTTAGGGTGTAGGGGTTTGGGGTTTAGGTGTTTGGGGTTTGGGTGGGGTTATGGGGGCCCCGTTGGGGGCTCCATGTAAAGTTCTACAGTTGGGCGACAACCAGGGCTAGTTTGCTGTTCGGAGTTAGTCTAGGACATTTTCAGGTGGGTAGTTACCGTTATAGGAGCCTTATAGAAGGTCTATATACCTTATAGAAGCCTTATAGAAGCCCTATATACCAAACTCCCCACCTGTATAATGTTCCTTTAAATTAGTGATGGGACAGCGTCGTGAAACAAGGCTTATATACACGCTTGGGCAGTCATGTGTTTCTACATTTTTCGTCTCTGCGGTGATGACGGTGATTGTAGCCAGGACCATTGTGGCCAGTGTTATACTTATACACTGTTCGTGCGGGGTTCGGTTTCAGACTGAAGGTCGTTTCTGAACCTCTTCGCATAGGACGAGCATTTGCACTGGAAACTTGATGGGCCCTATACTCTAATACACCCTAAACTGCGCTAAACCCCCAAAACAGAGCTATCCGCAAATACGGGACGATCCTCAGTCCCCTCAGTACAACAGTGCTTTCACGCCAAGAACCCCCGAGTTGAATCGATCCGCAGAAGTCGCAGTCTGAGCACAAGGACCCCTGAAAACTTGCATCTCTAGCCATAGAATATAACATAGTACACTTTAGTATAGTACAACATCATATCATATGAACCCTAATCCCTAAACCGTGTGAATATGCATCTAACTTCGGGCTGGTGGAGGACGGTGCTGGCGAAGACAGCGTGCGGGCAGGCAGGGCTTTGGGGATGAGGGTTCCTTTGGGGTTACCCTCGGGTCACCATGGGTTTAGGGTTTAGGGTTCCTTTGGGGTCACCATGGGGTTGTCATAGGATTATTTCCGATTTCGAGGTGCGGTCTTGGGCTTAGGGTTTCGGGCAGAATTGAACGTTTGGAGCCTTTAGAGCTTCGAGCTTAGGGCCCATGTGGTGTGGAGTTTCGGGTCAATGCTCCTCAAGAATGCTGCGTACAGAGGTCTGAATGGACGGTAATGGTGTACTCTTGTTTATGGGCTCAATGTAGCAATACAACAACTCCCAAAAAAATGCTTGTGCTAGTCATGAAAGGCTCTGCAATAGCAGGTGCTTTGGCTTCGAATTGCTCGGGTTGGTTCAATCCATTTTCTTGTGTTAGTACCTGGCCCAGGTGCTGGACCACAGGGAAATGCTTTTTACATGACAATGCAAGGATGGATGGGCTTTATTCAGAGATTTACAAGCTAAGCTCCACTATAACTCGCCATTAAATTCCTTCGAGGGCCTGTTTGCTTTGTTTATTTGATGTCATTTCTGCGACTTGCAGACCTTCTTCGCGCCGACCATCAACACCTGCTGCTGGGCATCATTGTTGTTGCAATCATGGTAAGAAACGAGAACTTCTTGAGTTTAGGAGTTCCTACAGGAGTCCTTTCATGTAGCATCATATCCTTTAGGGCCAAATTGAAGGTTCGCATTATGCGAATACTCCTATTCAGCTTCTCTCAGTGCTTCACTTTCATGGAGCCTTCATGGCCAAATGGACCCTAGACCCTCAACCCTAAACCCTAAACCCCATTGGAAGGTGCTGGAGCAAAGCGTGAGACATTCCGAACTTCCCGGTGCTGGGAATTTCCGTTGCGGAATCACAGCATCAGGAAAATGTCGAACCATAAGCGCAACCACATCAGAGAAATTAGGGTTAAGGGTTCAGGGTATCCCATATCCTGCGGAAGTGTGCCACCAGCCAGAGCTGTTGTGTTTGCTGCCCCCAACAAAGCCGGAAGCTTTCTATGCTTTCACAGAGCCTGGGCGTCTCCAAACGATGCTGCGAACGCGACTTTAGGGTTTAGGTTTTGCAGAAACCGAGACACTGGCATGACCCAACACCCTGCAAGTGCTGCAGAAATAAAGCCCAACACAACATACATGATCTAAGAGCGGATCAGATAGCTCGACCCCTAAACCCTAGACCGGAAACCC